GTTGAATGGTAATGTGCTTTCCTCATAACCTATAAGTTCTGGGTTCGAGCTCAAATGAGGGCATATTTCCAAAACTTGGAAGAAACAGGTCTCTAATACTCACTTGAGTTTAATACTTTTCTAATTGGTTCTACTTCACAAAAATATCTCTTTTGTAATCAATCAAATCTCAACATAATCTAGCATTTGGAAGATTTGAACACGGATCTTTGACCCGTAGCAAACAAAACCCATTTATTAAGTGAGGATCATAGGGACCATCACGATTCCTTCAAATATGTAAATCTATATTAGCATAGTACAGAAATAAGTAGCAAATGTGTTATTTTACTAAATCAAAATAATATCGGAGACAAATAAAAGGCACAGTTACTAATGCCTAATAAATATGCAGGTGGTTACGGATTTGGAAACTCCAGCGAAAGGCTTTATAATAAGGATTTACACTTGAATGTGCCTTTTAACCTATTCATTACATGTATCACAATATTTCTCATAAAAAAGAGTACGAACGGGTTAATATTTATTGCCTATGAGTATTAGCATGAATATATTAACGATACCAATTTGTTTTACTATTGTATGCAGTTCTTCCTACATATGGAGTTAAGTTTAAAGGTTGGAGCAACACGTAAAAAATTAATGTCACTTTGTATTAGAAATAAAATACCAGCTAGCATAAAAAACCAACCTACTGACGGTTAATTGTCAGAATTAGACAAAATGAAGACTAAAACATTTATCCTAAGTTTTTAGTCAAGTAACAACTTGTAATTCAAATGTTTTATGAATCAAACTAGTTTTACTTAGTAATTATTATAATATTATTGTTTACTTGGGTTCCAAGTGTATCATACGGCTTCAGCAGAACATCTTCACTAGGTCCTATTCTCATTGGTTCTCTTTACCTGATCCTACGACTGCCCATGGTCACTTAATTCCTCCTCACAAGATCTCCTCCATGTCACCATTGGAAGCATCATCCATTATTTCTCATTCGGGTTCCACTCGAGGGCTTGGCGCGTGATGTCATTCGACGGTTTCATCAGCGTGTGTCCAATCCATCTCCATTTCCACCGGTATGTTTTGACCAATAGGTTTTTGGTTGTTTTGTCCACAGAGTTCCTTGTTGTTTATCCTTTCTGGCCATCTGATCTTCAGTATGGGGTCAGTGAAATGGGCAGTTGTTGATAAAAGTCTTCAGTAGGCAGCTGAAAATGTTTTTCGTGACGCGCCAAGTAATGATTAGCCCTATCCCAGGAAATCGCCTTTATGGTCTTTAAATGTGCTTAGGACAAACAACCTAGGACAGACTCAGTGGATAAGTGATACTGCATAACCCCTACGTCTTACATAAATGGATTACTATGAACAAAGATAGAAATGGGCTCGCAATTCGGTTGAAAGTTGTTTATGCGGAAATTTATTTGTTTATTTATTTCCTCCTTAAAGGATTATTGGTATTATGGGGAATAAGAGAGAATTTATGACGACATACATAAATCTGGTCTCTACGGACGAATAATACACACTGACCTACATAGTCTTCTCCTTCATGCTAAATGAGCATACATATATGCATAGCTGTACGTGATTTTGAATCTAGACTCTGTGGTAAAAGCAGGGAATGCACTTACTCGGATTACCATTGCCAAAATAATATTTTCAGTACAATTTTAGGTTACTTTTGTTTTTGTAATGTGTCCAACTATTTCATTTAATGAGTACTCTTCATTCTCGTACAGGTTTCAGTTAAATAGTCCACCCCCTTTCCCATTCAGACATCTATTTTTGTAAATTTTGTCTGAAATTTTTGCACAGTCACTTCCTTGTAGATTATTTATATCACTGCATTAAATTCTTTTTCTGAAACATGCAATGACAGTTTGGTTGTTTTCAGTGAATTTCCCACTGCATACAAGTACGATTGTTTAGCTTTTTGAAAGTTATACATTAAAATGACGTTTTTCTTCGTTATTGTATCCTTCCATTTTAAAACATAATCCTTTTATTCTATTTTGTAGATAAAGCAATTTTAGTTTCTACTGTAACTTTTCTTAAGAACTTATTGATCGAAGATGATTCTTATCAAATATTTCACAAACTTCAGTTTGTTATGCAGTTTTTGAGTACTATTCAATCTAGTAATTATGCACACATTTTATCAAGGATATTATGAAAACTGTAAATCGTTAACTAATTCGCGGACTGTGAATTGCCAGTCCACCCGAGTGGCTAGCCAGAATTCGGATAGTTTGGACTGACTGGGCTCTTTAAACTCTGTCCAACTGGGTTCCGTCCCAAACAAGCGAAATATCTGTCCGGTGTTTAGATTACTTCGATATGGCTAGCGAGAGCTACTGGTTAATGTGAGTAGTATCTGACTACTTATATCAATCAATCAGTAGTATACAGCATTATGAAAAATACTAACCTTGATTTTAACTTGGTGATTCTTTACCTTTTGGTGTCAAAAACAGTAAAATTCAATGTTATACTACCATACATGTAAGTTTAAAGAGTTGATTTTAATCAAAAGTTCGTAGTCAGTATGTGTTCATAATTCAGTCATATAAAAGGTTATTCGTTGCCTTCAGAATTTAATAGTGAGTAAAAAGTAATTTGTTTTGATTTTCTGAAAGATTGTAATGTTTCATTGCAATTCATCCGAACCATCTGATGTACTCTCTGTTATTTTAGATGTTATCATCAATTTCGACTTCAGACAAGTAAATTGTCCACTTCTCCATTATGCACTGATGATGAACACGGGTTGATCAAACTGAGTTGCATTATATAATAAGAAAATGAATTTTTATGGTGTTCACACAAGAAAGTAGTAAAACTATACAGTGAGTAGAATGTGATAAACTTTCGACTGTGACCAGGTATTGAGTTTCTCTAGAGAATTTTAGAGGGACAGTTATTTTCTACAGTTGGTTTGTAAGGATTAGATTTGTTTTTACGAGTTGATCACGGATTGATATCGGTTGAGAACCATTGTAAACCACCAACGGAATACTGGACAGCTGTTTCATCCTAGTTTGGGAATCATCGGCAGTACGCACCCACCATCACTGTTCGAACCCAGGGCCTTCCGGTTAATCTGATGCTGGCTAGTGACTTTCTACAGGACGGAGTTTCCTTGAGATCTAGTGAGAAGTCGTGACCAGTGAGGTCCATCCAGTCAAGTGTGAGGATGGATGTCCCACCGATGACATTGGTTGGTGGTCACGCTAAATCACGAATTGGAAGAAGTTAGAATTCATTGGCCATTGAATTGGATCCCAGTGGCTGAATGGTATACGAGCTTGCCTTGTAACTGGAAGGTCCTGGGTTCGAACCCTGGTGGTGGGTGCGTACTGCCGATGATTCCAAAACTAGGATGAAACAGCTGTTCCAGTACTCCCTGGTTTTCACTGGTTCTCTAACTGATATCAATCCGTGATCAACTCGTAAAGGACAGTTATTCACCTTAAATAGCGATTTAATTCTAACTTGAATAAATAATAATAATAACTTTGAAAAAAACACCTGAGGGTGTGAGTAAAGGCTACCGTGTACAACATAATTTTTAGCATGTGTTGTTATAACTTACGAAAAAAAACAAATAGTTAAAATAAACTGGCGTCATATCCCACTTCATTGATTAGTGAAAGCAACTCATCAAACAAGTTATAAAATAAAAATTTCGAAGTAAAAGAAAACAATACTGCAATGAAAAAACAAGGTGATTCATTCATGCATAACAAAGTGAAAATACAATTAAGTAGTGTGTGCGTGTGTGTGTGTGTACTTCATGAGTGTTTATTTATCCATTCACTTATTATTGTTGTTATTTCTGAAATAGGCTTATGCTTACTCAACACGGCTAGTTGTATTGTCCCTAATCACCAAAACATGTAATTAATGGCGCCATTAAACTTCGTAGTGTGTTTTTTCTTTAAACTGAATAATATGTTTCACAAAAGTTATTTATTTATCCATTCTATGAAGTGTTTACTTTACTCTGTTTGTTTTAATCTTGACTCAATATCACTCTTGATAAAATAACACTTGAATAACTACTTTTTTCATTGAAGTATTACAACTTTTAATAATAATAATAAACAGAACATCACTGCATAGGATATTTATTTATGTCTCTAGGCTAATAAGCATTCATTTTGTTATTATTCTGTGAAATTAACTGATGACTGATATGAGTCAGGTAGGAAAGTAGACACTGATTAATCACTAGGGAGTGACTGATTGAGTCCTATCAGTCAGGTTCGAAATATGGTCAACAATCTAGGCGACTTGCCATCGAGGTGCGCTCTAAATTATTGTTGTTATTAGATGCTTGGATGCAATCAACAGGAAGCCCAGTCTGATCTGGGTTTGGTACTTGTCAGCACTCACCAGTCAGTAAGGCGTGTCTGAAACCCTGAAGAAACTCATGTCCCTCCCACGAATCGAACTCGTGTCACCCAGTGCTACAGTCAGAGACGTTAGCACTGAGCCATCTAGGCTCGCTATTGAACTCCTGTAGGATTATAATAGGCATACTGATTAGCCAAATGGTGGTATTTATTGTCACGCATCCAGTTCTTGATATTAGTGCAAACTGAATCCTATCAGTCGAGTTTGTGGTGTGTTCCATTATGGATGGAATTCACCAGCTATTTCTGCCTTGATTACTATACTGCTTTCACTTACTTTGTCTCACCGTATTTCACAATTACTAATTATCTGATTCTGATATCTTATCTACGCTGAAATAACATTCTGCTTTGTGTGTAGATACAAGCTGTAGCAATTAGAACCTGTTTAAACACTGTATATTTGTATAAATCAATCTGTTAAATGGAGAACGAAGACTGTCTTGTCTAATCAAGGAAATTAAAGCTTTTTTATGAATTTGGCATTATAAAACTCAATAAGAAGAAAAGCTTTCTTTAACATGTATGATTAAGATTCAATATTTCTTGAAATAGTTGACTTACTCAAAGTTATTGAATTTATTGTTGTTTGAGGTTTTCGATAGTTTCTTTAGAGCAAGCAGGTGTCGCTGACTGGGATGTGGATTTTACAGAAATCGCCAGGGTCATGTCGTTTATTTCCTTTATAGAGAACGAAAAGAAAGAAATAACAAGTAGTGTTTATTGAACAATAGACGGTAATCATGAATTAATTATCAAGTCGGAAAGTAAGAAACTGTTTTCACTGGAAAAATTGTCGTTAACTATGAGAATTGTCTTAACAACAAGTAAACTAGGGAAATAGATAGTCAATTAAGGAAACTGATGAATAATTTTCATGAAAAATCTCTGGCTTCTTTTCTTAATTGTTACGTAAAAGCGCTTTCTCCTATTAGAACTTATCTGTGGATTTATATGTATATACAACAACACACATCTACAAAAGGTGATGAAAAGAAATCAATATGTGAATTAAACTGATGCATACTTTAATTTTCGAAATCTTATATGGCAACTTAAAGCTTTCTATTTTATTCTGAGTTCAATCTTTACTTAAGCTAATAAGTTTTCGAAAAAAACGACATGAGGAAAAAGATGTGAGAGATGTAAAAGGGGTCAGATATAGGTATTTATGTTACCACAGACTAATTTCATTGCATGCTAATTCAGGGTATGTTAGAGACTGTATTTAAGGAAAACGGAATTACTTACAAAAAAATTGTGGATGTGGAATAGTTAGCATACTCCCTCACGATAGATTGAATGTTGACTTTTTTATTCCCTTACGTCCCCAATGAAACACAGGGCTTCAAGATAGAGGCTTAAAGTTTCGCTATCAGTGATGTTTATTTTCACAGGATGGGGTTGCTAGCCTCATGCCCAACCTTCCCTCTTTACCAATTTTATTACTAGCTTGGCGAGGTAAAGGAGTTCGTCGGCCGGGGATCGAACCCGGGACTATATGTCTGGTTGGCTAGCATTCTACAGTCACACCACCGACAGTGTTGATCTGCCGGGATTTAACTGACTTCAGTTTTATTCACTAATTGACTCCGGTTAGAAAACCACTGGAATTCAGGTAGTACTAGATATCTGTCTCATCAGTATACATCCATGTCCCTACAGACGTCGAATCCAGGATTTTCAGGTTACGACTTGAATCAACAGATGTTAAAATTTATAGGAAATAGGTTTCCATCCTGGTGTACTAGTTCGTTTTTTCACCCTAAAGTAGTGAGCCCGACAGCTACTCGACTGATGATTTGTGATATTTTATACTGAAATGAATTAAGTCTATAATGGCAAAAGGTAGTAATGTTTGACAGCAACCTTGCTGATTCGACAGATGGAATACAGTGATGGCGAAATACAAAAAACCTTACATTGGAACTTTTAATTGCATAAATTCTTTATAATCTGCCACTTTTCTTTTCGTTTTACACTGTTTCTATTGTTTCATTCCTCCTCTACTGAACTGAATTCGTAGCTTCACTACTCTTGATTTATGCAGAAGGCATACACAGCATACTACTTGTAAATTTCACGTCAGTAAGATACACTGCACGTTTACACCAGTACTATTCCTAACTTTATTCAGTCACATAAAGGAATTGAATCGTTCTGTTTATCAGTAAAACACGTGATACTATTTTAAGATCAGCTGATTGAATTTATCAGTATTTGTTAAAAGGACCAGAAACAAATCTCCAACTATAGTTGCAATCGACTTAATTTAAATGAAATATTCATTTCCAAATGGTTTAATGAATTGTGTGCGTGAATATATTACTTCATTATAGATAAGTTAAGTGTCTAACATACCGAGCAACAGCACTAAGTAGTACAACAAAAAACCTAAATGATAAAATGAAACAGATAGAAGAAGCGTTGGTGTTAAATAACTATCCTATAAAATTCATTAGGAATATCAAAAAAGGTAAAAATAAAAATAATGGTGAAACTAATAATGATAAGATAAATAAGAAAGAATATAATGCATCTAAAGTTTGATCACATAAGGAGGGGGATCTGAGCCCCTACGTAGGATTCTTAATAAAGCAGGAATTACGGTGGCATTCAAATCTACAAACTCACTCAGGCAGGGACAAGCTCTGTAGGTTAAAGGACCCGGTGGACTCTAATTAGACAAAATAATATAATTCACAAAATACCTTTCAATGACTGGGTGTTAAGTCAACTACATAAGTGAAACTAGTAGATCAGGAGTAGTGAGACTGCCTGTCTGAACATAAGAACTTAGCTAAGGTTAGAATGATTGATTCCACGAAGATAAGTAATTTAGAAATAAACTCAGCAATAGCACTGCATGCATTAACACACAACCACACAATAGGGTGGGACGGAGTCCAAATTCTAAAAAGTAATTTAGGTAGTTGGAGAGAGATTGATTACTGGATCCTGGTTCATCGAGCCTACACCCAACACATGCAACAGAAATGATTAAAAACAAACACCAGAGATATGGAAGATATTATTACCAGTCGAATCAGGGGATAATAAATAATGTTTAAATGTATTTCAGTTCACATTAAAACATTCTAACAAGTTAATTTATCTTATATTGACTTTATTCAAATGTCTAATCAATCTTTACTCATGTATATAAATGAAGCAAGAAAGTTTTGTGAGAACCTTGATATGATTACGAGCAGCAATAATTTGTGCTCGAAACGTCAACAGTAAATATTACTGTATAACACTGTGTGATTTTATCTAAATAAAATTTTATCCATAATGGAGTTATACTCTACCATAGTGCCCATGTTTTATCGAATATACTACTTATTAAAGTGATTTTTGAATTAGATTTAGATGTGTATAAATATTACATTGTTAAGTTACACAGTTCAGTGAAGGTTTTCTTACACTGAGAAGTGAATAAATTTATTCTTTTGTGATCTAAATGTTTATGTTTACAATATATCACTTATACCGTCAGCCTACAGTCATGGCGGCTTGCTTGAATCACTGGACTACCTGGATTTCTATCCAACACAGTGCATCAATGTTGCTGCATTTTATTTTTTATTTTAACTATTCATTTATGTCTGTGGTCCACAAAAAATGTATTCCGGCACATTTTGAATTGCCTTTCACCCTGTTGATGCGCATATCCCAGAAACGAAGGAAAATATTCATAAAAAGGAATTAGTTTATGCTTCAGAACAAACAGTATTGGGTCACATGATATAGGCTAGATTGCTGTTTTTTTTACTTGAGGATGCTGGATGAAGTGAAAGTATTATGCAATAAATTACACTGGGAATTTGTATATTGTGTAAACATTTTGTACAGAATAAAGCTATTATTATTATTATTAAGTTTGTAGCTATTTCCTACTAGAAGGAATTTTCGAAGTGTTTTCAAAGATGCACTAATAATAACACATAAATAATAACAATAATAATAGCTTTATTCTAGACAGTGTTTATATAATGTACAAAATTTTCACCACAATTTATTGCCTGATAATTTTCTCTTTGTCCAGCGTCTTCAAGTTAAACAATAATCAACAACACATCGCATGACACAATGCCATCTGACCTGAAGTGCAAAACCAATCCCTTATAGTATTTCTTCTTTGCCTTCTTCGAGAAATCCACGATATTTGGTTGAAAGCCAGTTGAAAAAAGTGTTGGCGTACATTTTGAGACCCGAGGACATAACTGAATTAGTGGAGACTGCAAGTACTTAGTTTTATTTCTCAGGCAATGGCAGTTTGTACTAAAAATCTCAGAAACAGTTATCTCATGTATTAGGATACGTTACCACCTTTTCTTCAAGTTTAGTAGAAACTTGAGAATCATCAGGCTGTAAACATTTTTAATACTTCTGAGAGTAAACAGTACCATTAGAGATAATATTTTAATTGATTAAGACTGAGTGAACAAGAGAAATCATATACAATTTACCGATGAAGGTTTTTGGTAGCCCAAGTTTTAAACAGACCGCCGTGAGCACGCAAGCCTTCAAACAAACATATTTTAGGATTTCATTATGAGATGACATTGGTTAGAGAACCATTGGAAAACCTGGCAGTACTAGGCAGCTGTTTCCTCCGTCCTAGTTTGGGACTCTTCATCAGTACGTAACCATCGTCAAGGTTCGAACCCAGGACCTTCCGGTTACAAAGCAAGCTCGTATACCATTCATCCACTGGAATCCGACTCAATTACTCTTGAATTCCAACTTCTGCCAATTTACGATATAACGCGACATACGAAGGTTATTAAAACAACAATATTTATTAATACTATTACTATCAGACAATTTTTGTCCCTCAATGCATAATGTAATTAAAAATGTATATATTTCGTGTTTTTTGACAGATGAGAAAATTTTTTTTCGACTGAATCTGACTAAACAGACTTTCTTCTCTAATGAGAAATTAAAATTATTATTGACAAAATGTGTATATGACAAAGACGTAAACTAAAATAGACAAACAAATTGAAAAATTCCTTTTCTTTTAAATGAATAACGACAGTTTTCAATGTAATTAATTTTGAAGAGACTCTGTCTCTTATTGCATCAGTTTGCATAATACACATCTGAATATTTTGAATTAGGAAAAGAAAAGAAGAAATTGAACAGCCATGTATCGAATGAATTCTCCGTTGAATAATTTTTATTCCACAGCCTCATATACTTAGTTGATTTTGTATTATTTTAAAAGAACCCTGTTTCACTGTCGGTAAAAGTATCAGAATTCATTACTTAAGTAACTTTCATAGAGTAACATGATCTTGAAGTCAATTTGTGTACAACATCTTGTGCTATTGTAGATGTGTTGACTTCAGTAGTCATTTATAAACACTCAGTGAGTAAAAACGTTATTAGATGAAGCTGGAGTTTGAAATTCTACCATCTGATTGTTTTAATGACAGTAGAATATTTAAATTGTATCAAGTTTGAAAAAAAATTTCAGATTGAAAAGAAAACAAATGACATAAACCTTTCAACTACTAGAAAAAAGTTAACCAGTACGAATTTGTTCTCTGTGGAAAAACTGTGGTGAATGCATTAATTAATTTTAATTAAAATCTTAACAAAATGGTTTAATGCATTCCTAGTGAGAGATGGTGTTCCCCCTGAGGCTCGAACCCAGTAGCCGTTATTTC